GGATGTCGCACCTGCAGGTCCTTGCTAATGAGCAGCTCCAGCTTCTCCACCGTGGCCGTAAGAAACTCTAGGGGACGGCCGCTGACTAGACGCCACCCACTGCTGCTGCTGCTGCTGCTGCTGCTGCTGCTGCTGCTGTTTGCTTTCTGCTGCTGGCAATTTAGGGCCTCCATGAGCGCTTTGAACTCGGAGCTGTCCAGCACAGGCAGGGGGGCCTCTGCAGGTTCTTCTACGGGGACTTCATCTGCTGCTGCTGCTGCTGCTGCGTCTGCTGCTGCTGCTGCAGCAGAGTTGAAGCCACGCATCTCCTCCAGCTGCCGCTGCAGACGGCAGGCGTCCCGCATTGCAGCAGCAACGGAAAGCAGAATCTTTTCTGCGTTGAAGGTAACATGCATGTCTTCATCAGCAGCAGCAGCAGCTGCTGCTGCAGCACAGTAGGCCCTCCAATCTTTCTTGCGAAAAGCCAACACTGCTGCTGCCAGAGCAGCGGGAGAGCCGCGCGAGTCCTGCAGCAGCACCAGCAGCAGCAGTAATATGCACAGGGGATGGCTGCAGCAGCAAGCAGCAGCAGGCAGCATCTGTCTGCACGTCTGCAGCACCACACTATCTAATGGCCTTCTTTTGTATTTTGTTGCTGCTTCTGTGTCTCTGCGTATCTCCCGCTGCTGCTGCTGCTGCTCTGTGTCTTGTCTCTGATTTCTGCAGCTCTCTAGAGCCCTGGTGCTGCCGCAGCCTCACCAGCGGCCTGCCGCTGCTTGCTGCTGCGCTGCTGCTGCTGCTGCTGCTGCTGCCGTGGTCGCTCGCTGTCTCCTTCTCTTCTTCTGTCTCTTCTTCCTCCCGAGCCCGCAGCTGCTGCAGCCGCTTCCGCACGGCTTTTGGCTGCCTGCCCATTAGTTCTAAACAAACAAACAAACAAGTACTTGCTGTTGCTGCTGCTGCTGCTGCTGTCCCCATTTCGCTGCTGTTGCTGCGGCTCGTGGGGCTGTGTAAGGGCTCCCGCTGGATCTGCCCCTGCTGCTGCTGCTGCAGCTGCTTGTTCTGCTACGCCGGTGTACTATAGCTCTATTTGCTGCTGCTGCTGCTGTTGCTGCTGCTGCTGTTGCTGCTGCTGCTGCTGACCTGCAATATAGGTGTAGTAGTCTCTGACGCCTCTGAATTGCTCGAAGAACTGCAGCAGCATGCAGTCTTCCTCGTGGGTCCATGTGCCTTTTGCTGCTGCGTCTCTGAACCTTCCGTTTGCTGCTGCTGCTTCGTCGGCTGCAGCCCTGAGGGCCTCCTCAGGCTGCAGCTCCTGCTGCAGCTGCTGCTGCTGCTGCAGCTGCTGCTGCACCTTCGCGTCCGTGC